GTGATGAGGAGTGATGAGGAGTGATGAGGAGTGAGGAGTGATGAGGAGTGAGGAGTGATGAGGAGTGATGAGTGATGAGGAGTGAGGAGTGATGAGGAGTGATGAGGAGTGATGAGGAGTGAGGAGTGATGAGTGAGGAGGAGTGATGAGGAGTGAGTGAGGAGTGAGAAGTGATGAGGAGTGAGGAGGAGTGAGGAGGAGTGAGTGAGGAGTGATGAGGAGTGAGGAGTGATGAGTGAGTTCTGAGTGAGTGATGAGTGAGTGATGAGTGAGTGAGGAGTGATGAGGAGTGAGGAGGAGTGATGAGTGAGTGATGAGTGAGTGAGGAGTGATGAATGAGTGATGAGTGAGTGAGGAGTGGTGAGGAGTGAGTGAAGAGTGAATGAGTGAGGAATGATGAGTGAGTGATGAGGAGTGAGTGAGTGAGGAGTGATGAGTGAGTGAGGAGTGAATGAGTGAGGAGTGATGAGTGAGGAGGAGTGAGGAGGAGTGATGAGCAGTGAGGAGTGATGAGTGAGTGAGGAGTGATGAGTGAGTGATGAGGAGTGATGAGTGAGTGAGGAGTGATGAGTGAGGAGTGAATGAGTGAGGAGTGATGAATGAGTGAGGAGTGATGAGTGAGGAGGAGTGAGGAGGAGTGATGAGTGAGTGAGGAGTGATGAGTGAGTGAGGAGTGAGGAGGAGTGATGAGTGAGTGAGGAGTGATGAGTGAGTGAGGAGTGAGTGAGGAGTGAGGAGTGATGAGCGAGTGATAAGGAGTGATGAGTGAGTGAGGAGTGATGAAGAGTGAGGAGTGATGAGGAGTGATGAGGAGTGAGTGAGGAGTGATGAGTGAGTGAGGAGTGATGAGTGAGTGATGAGTGAGTGAGGAGGAGTGATGAGTGAGTGAGGAGTGATGAGTGAGTGAGGAGTGAGTGAGGAGTGATGAGGAGTGAGTGAGGAGTGATGAGTGAGTGAGGAGTGATGAGTGAGTGAGGAGTGATGAGGAGTGATGAGTGATGAGTGAGGAGTGATGAGTGAGTGATGAGGAGTGATGAGTGAGTGAGGAGTGAGGTGGTAGAGGATGAGCGTTGAAATTCAGTAAATTGAAGAGATGGAGATCGCCTTAAAAATAAGATATGGATAAGGATGTGTGATCTGTGATAAAGGAGGAGTGAGAATAAGTGATGAAGATTGGTGATGAAGTGGGGGATGAGTGATGAGGGGGGGGGGAGAAGGAGGAAAAGGGGGGAGAGCGAGGAGGAGTCGCCGCTCAGCTTTTATGTCTGGGTCACGCGAGGAGCTTCCGCTAGCGGAGCGAGAGTCATGGGGGGCCTTACCCGGGGGGCTGGAGGAGGGGGGGGGGGGCGTGTATGTAGCCTGTGTGTGCGTTTGTGTGCGTAGTGTGTGTATGTGAGGAGTGCGTGTGTGAGGAAGTGCGTGTGGCTTGTGTTTGGTGTTTGTGTGAGGAGTGTGTGTACGTGTGGCATGCAGGAGTGTGTGAGGTGTGTGTATGTGGTCTGTGTATAGAAGAGGCTCGTTAAGAACGCTACTGGGCAGTTGGAGGCAGTCGCCCTCCAACAACAATGGAGGGCAGAGGAGCGACGCTCACACCAACAAGCGGAGCGCCGGGCCGATAAAATACAGCAAGTTGGCACAGGAGGGGGCACAGCTGTGCATCTACCAGTCATCTCAGCCAGTCAACCCATGGCACCTGGGTCTGTCCCGTGCCCTCCTGTCAGCGAACATTCGACACTTCACGTGGCCTGAAAGTGCACAATGGCCTGGCACAGGCACCGTCACCGCCACTTAGTGGCAAATGGCGGTTGTTGTGTATGTTTGTGTGATTAGTGTGTGTGTGCAGCAGGAGTGTGTGTTTGAGTGTTTTTGTGGGGAGCTGTGTGAGAGGGAATGTGTGTACAAATGAGTATGTCTGCGTGATAAATATATTCGAACGACCAGCAGAAGCAAATATCACAGAGCGTGTTCTAAGATTAATTCTAGCAGCCCTTTCCCACCCGACCTGCAGATAGCAGCAGCAATCGTCAAATCGACATCAATCTCAGAGCTGGAATTTAGGCAAATTAAGAGCAGATCTGAATTTTATTAGAAGAGTTTTTTCTGCACTTATTGGTGACCTGGGTTAGATCGGCCCGCCTCTGTTGGGTTCGTGCTATATTTGCCGAATGAGCTGTGCCATGCAAGGGCGTTCAGTGCGCATCTCGGCCAGAATATATTATGACCGATGGTCAAGCATAGCGAGGGAGTGGCAGTCAATGGACGAAAAGTTTCCGAATTTACGTCCGTCGGGGAGATGGAGTGATGAAATCAGCTCGTGTGCGAGTGCTAGATGGATTATCGCATGAAAGGACCGTTGCGACAGGGTCGAAGGCTTGGGGGAGGCCTTCATCCAGCAGTGGCTTGACCAGGGCCAGATGGAACTGACAAAGTGGCGAAAATATGACGTCATCACGCGAGTGGTTTGCTTCATCGCCACTGTGTGAGCGGCTCCTTGCACGTGTTAGACTGGAGAGCGGCTGCGGTTACGCTGCTCATTCTGGCATCCTCAAGCTTGTGCGGTTGAATAACGTTAAGGCGGTCTCCATTCGACTTGGGAGGGAAGCAAAGCACTACAGACAAGACAAACGCAAATGTCATCAATTGCAACGTGTATAGGGAAACACATCGCGATATTCGTGGTATCGCGATATTCGACATCGTACCGTCCGTCGAAATGCCGATACGCCCTCGTGTGCACACGTGCTGGCCGCTGAGTAAGCGGATCGGTATGCGCAGGTAGGCGCAGGTGTGTGCAGCTCCTAGGGCGGGAGCAGGCGTGCGTGTACAAGTACGTGTACACAGGCGTGCAGACGCGTGCGGCATCATCATCATCACCATCATCACCATAACCACCATCATCACCACCATCACCACCATCACCACCACCATCATTACCACCATCACCACCACCATCATCACCAACAACAACAACCGGCATTCGCCACTAAGTGGCGGTGACGTCACCACGACGCTTGTGCCAAGCCACGTGCACGGGGCAGACCCAAGTGCCACGGGTCGACTGACTAAGATGACTGAGATGACTGGCTGATGCACCACCTGTGCCCCCTACTGTGCCAACCTGCTGTGCTTTAGCCACCCGGCGCTCCGCTCGTTGTTGTGAGCGTCGCTCCTCCGCCCTCCGTTGTTGTTGGAGGGCGACTGCCTCCAACTGCCCAGTAGCATCCTTCACGAGCCTCCACAGATCATCACCACCACCATCATCACCACCATCAAAGGTCCTCAGTATAGCCTTTAGCAAACTGTTATGGCAAGTGTTGTTAGTGAGCACCTATGAAGGCCGGAACGGCACACGTTGGGGTCGGTCGCCAATACCACGCCTGTCTCCCCAGTGGCGATGTTTACACACCGCACCAGGTACTTATTTGAGGCTGAGTCAACCAAGGGGAGGCTCAGGACTTGTTCAGATAATCGTCACTGATGATGGCCGAGAGCGGGAATCGAACTCGGGTCGCCGGGTTCATAGGACAGCGCGCAAACCGCTGCACTACCGCGTACACAGACGTGTGGCATCATCACCACCATCATCAATCACCATCATCTCCGCAATCCGTCACTGGTGGGTGTACACGTATTGTGTAGTGGCGCGTGCACACAGGTGTGTGTGTACAGGAACGTGCACACAGATGCGTGCACACAGGTGCGTGTGTACAGGAACGTGCACACAGATGCGTGCACACAGGTGCGTGTGTACAGGAACGTGCACACAGGTGCGTGTGTGTCGGCGTGTACCCGGTGCCCCTGGGCCAGGTGTGTGTCCGGATCAGGACGCGCTGCCCCCGTGAGGGCGCGGTCGCCCCTCCCAGCCCCCAGGGGTAGCGGGGAGGGAACCGGCGGGAGTGAAGAGGACAGAGAGGGAGGGGTTGAGGGCTTTTGATGAGAGCCGTCTCAACTCTCAGTTGACGCCTTCGTTAATAACAACACTGCAGTCTTCAAAGTGAAAAAAAAACACACGAGGCGACGCTTCGGGAAACGGCCCTTCTTCTGAGCACTGTACACACAGAGTTGGAGACTGCACTTGTTTACACCATGGGGCATGTTCTGTGGTGTGTACTGCGGTGTGTACTGTGTGTACTGTGTGGTGTGACTGTGTACTGTGTGCAATGTGTGTGTGGTGTGTACTGTGCGTTGTGTACTGTGTGCACTGTGTGCACTGTGTGGTGTGTACTATGTGGGGTGTGTACTGTGTGTACTGTGTGCACTATGTGGGTTGTGTACTGTGTGTACTGTGTGCACTATGTGGGGTGTGTACTGTGTGTGGTGTGTACTGTGTGTGGTGTGTACTGTGTGCACTGTGTGCACTGTGTGTGGTGTGTACTGTGTGTGGTGTGCACTGTGTGTGGTGTGTACTGTGTGCACTGTGTGCACTGTGTGTGGTTTGTACTGTGTGTGGTGTGCACTGTGTGTGGTGTGTACTGTGTACTGTGTGCACTGTGTGCACTGTGTGTGGTGTGTACTGTGTGCACTATGTGGGGTGTGTGGGGTGTGTACTGTGTGTGGTGTGTACACTATGTGTGGTGTGTACTGTGTGTGGTGTGTACACTATGTGTGGTGTGTACTGTGTGCATTATGTAGGGTATGTTCTATGATCAACATTCCTGCTCTCATTTGGGACCGCGCCCGGGCGACTAAGCCCCCGATCTTGACGCAGGGCGGTGAGGTGAGTTGTGAGAGTTTAGGCGTTATCGGAGCTGATGCGGTGTGTGAGGTGGGGGCGAGAAGTGTGAGTGATGGTGGAGGGGTGTGCGGGGTGACATTGACGGTGCTGTGTGAGGTGAGCTCTGTTGTTCGGTGGTGATTCGTGGTGAGGCGTGAGTAGTGAGGTGTTGGTCGGGGTGTGCGGCCTAGGCGTGGTTGTGAGCCGGGTCCCCGTGTTCTGCCCTCGGGGGGGAAGGGGGCGACTGCCCCCCCCCCCCCCACCGCAAAACTGATTCCCTCCATCACCCTCCCCCCGCTCATTAAAGAGACTGTGATGGGTCCACCCCTCCCACCCCATCACCTCCCACCTCATTAAGGAGGCTGTGTCCCTTGTGTGGGATGTGTCCCTGGGATGGGACCCTTCCTCCGCTCGCCCGCCCGCTCGCTCGCTCCCTCCTCCCCCAACACTCACTAATGCCCCCCCCGGCCCTCTCCGCCCCCGCGCCGCCTCTGCTCGAGTCGCGTCTCCCCGCGCTTCCGCTCTCTTCTCGCTTTAAAGTGGCGAGGCCGCGCCGACTGCCGGCTCCCTGGCCTCGATCCCCTTTCTCCGATCCCCGATCTTTCTCCTATAGTCCCCGATTCCTCACCCCAGTTCTCATCTCGAGTCGTGCCACTGGACCCCCCCGATCCCTCCACCCCCTCCGCCGCCCCCACTGCCGCCTCAGCCATGACCTCCCGTCTTCACAGCGAGTCCCTGATCCCCGATCCCTCTCCTCTGATCCCTCATCCCGATCCCCGAGCTCCGAGCTGTCATCCCCGATCCTCACAGCAGCTCCCTCGTTCCTCTTCCAAGATCCTCTCTCCCTGATTCCTGCTCACCCGACTCCCTCATCCTGAATCCCCGATTCTCATCCCTGATTCTCATCCCCGATCTCGGCTCCTGACACCACCTCCTACGCTCGTCCCTACGGTGAGTGATGTCGTGAGCGAGTGGTGAGTAGTATAGTGAGGAGAGGTAGTGAGTGGTGAGTAGTGTAGTGAGGAGAGGTAGTGAGTGGTGGGTAGTGTAGTGAGGAGAGGTAGCGAGTGGTGAGTAGTGTAGTGAGGAGAGATAGCGAGTGGTGAGTAGTGTAGTGAGGAGAGGTAGTGAGTGGTGAGTAGTGTAGTGAGGAGAGATAGTGAGTGGTGAGTAGTGTAGTGAGGAGAGGTAGTGAGTGGTGAGTAGTGTAGTGAGGAGAGGTAGTGAGTGGTGGGTAGTGTAGTGAGGAGAGGTAGTGAGTGGTAAGTAGTGTAGTGAGGAGAGGTAGTGAGTGGTGAGTCGTGTAGTGAGGAGAGGTAGTGAGTGGTGGGTAGTGTAGTGAGGAGAGGTAGTGAGTGGTGAGTCGTGTAGTGAGGAGAGGTAGTGAGGGGTGAGTAGTGTAGTGAGGAGAGGTAGCGAGTGGTGAGTAGTGTAGTGAGGAGAGGTAGTGAGTGGTGAGTAGTGTAGTGAGGAGAGGTAGTGAGTGGTGAGTAGTGAAGTGAGGAGAGGTAGCGAGTAGTGAGTAGTGTAGTGAGGAGAGGTAGTGCGTGATACGATGAATGTTATGGTGAATTGTGTGGTGAGGATCTGCGGTGAGTGATGTGGTGAATTATGTAGTGAGGATCTGCGGTGAGTGATGTGGTGAATTATGTAGTGAGGATCTCCGGTGAGTGATGTGGTGAATTATGTGGTGAGGATCTGCGGTGAGTGATGTGGTGAATTATGTGGTGAGGATCTGCGGTGAGTGATGTGGTGAATTATGTGGTGAGGATCTGTGGTGAGTGATGTGGTGAATTATGTGGTGAGGATCTGCGGTGAGTGATGTGGTGAATTATGTGGTGAGGATCTGCGGTGAGTGATGTGGTGAATTATGTGGTGAGGATCTGCGGTGAGTGATGTGGTGAATTATGTAGGAGCGGCAGTGCAGCTGTTAGCGCGCTGCGCTACGAACCCCGCCACCCGAGTTCGAGTCTCACTCACGGACAAAACCAGTGACGATCTGAACCGGTCCTAGGCCTCCCCTAGGTCGGCTCAGCCTCAAATGAGTACCTAGTGCAATATGTGAAAACTTTCACTGTTATGGAGACAAAGGCGTCCGTTATGGTGTTGGCCACCCAACCTCCTCGTGTGTGGTGTTGGCCTTCAGAGGTGTTACTCGCTAACAGCACTTAGCCCAACAGTCTATCAAGGCTATAGGAGAGATATGTCTATGTATCGAGTGGGGTGCTGAGAAGCTGTCGTGAATGGCTGTGAGTGATGTGACAAGGAGATGGAGTGAGTGTTGAGTGATGTGGTGAAGAGGGGTAGTGTGTGATGTCGTAAGTGACATAGGAGAGGTGGTGAGTGATGTGGTAAATGTTGTGGTGAGTGATGTGGTGGTGGTATGAAAGTGAGTGATGTGAGGAGATTAGCACGGTTGGCTACGTACGGTGCGAAAGAAGTTCACCATACATACATTATATAGTGAGTGATGAGCGGTAGTGAGTGATGTTAAGAGATATAGTGAGTGTTGAGTCATGTGGTGAGGAAAAGTGGTGAGTGATGTCATGTGTGCTGTGTGTGTGCGAGTTGACACAATGGGAAGCACAGGTGATGCTTCTGCCAGTCATCTAAGCTAGTTAACCCAGAGCACCCGGCTCTGTCCCGTGACCTTTGTTTACACGCAGCAGGGAGCTTTTTACACTTCACATGACGGCGTCAAAGTGCACCTAGCCTGGTATAAGGGACGTAACATCAGCCACTCGTGTACCTGTGCTTGGGATGCACTTGTGCGCTTGTTTATATGCACGTCTATGTCTGCGCAATTAATCCGGTGACCTGGGTTCGATTCCCTGCCACGGCTAACATCATTGGAAATCTGCGTGTGAAACGGTTCAGGGCTTCCCCTAGGTCGACTAAGCCTTAAATGAGAAGCCGGTGTATAAACATCAGCACTTGGGAGACAAATATGCTCGGGTGTGGGGCTGGGCATCCCGCCCCCTCGTGTGCCGTGTCAGGCGTTATAGGTGCTCGCTTGCAACACTTGCCTCAACAGTCTGTTCATGCTATAAGGGGACCTTTGTGTACGATTCTGTGTATACTTAGATGTGTATACGTTTGTGTCTGAGTATATGTATGCGAGTGTGTATCTATATATGTGTGTTGTTTTTATCTGTGTATCTTAGTATCTGTGTGTCAGTGTACATTTGTGAGTTTGTGTTTTTGTGCATCTGTGCATGTGGTGAGTGCGTGCCCGTATGTGTATCTTTTTACATTTGCATGTCTGTGTCTGAACCGGTCCTTGGTAGGTCAGTGGTTAGCGCACTGCGTTATGAGCTCGGCGACCAGGGTTCGATTCCTGCTCGCGACCAATAACAGTGGCGAATATTTGAACCGGTCCTTGGGCCTCATAGGTCGATTTGGCCTTAAATGAGTAACTGGTGCCATGTGTAAATATCAGCTTTGGAGAGACAACGGTGGCCGGGCATGGTGTTGGTCACCTACTCCTTCGTGTGCCGTGTCGGCCTTCATACGTGCTCTCTTACAACACTTGTCCAACAGTCTGTTAAAGTCAATAGAGGGGTCTTTGGTTCTTGTCTGGATGCGTGTCTGTGTATCTCTATGCGTGTGTATCATCTTTTTCGACCACGTATTTCGAGAAGGAATTCCTATCTGGTACAGATGCAATGAGATGCTGATCGATGGCCGGGTAAGGTCAAGGGATAGCTCCCTATTGGTTAAACATGTGGTGTATGCTCATGCTCTGGTAATTGCTGCTCACTCTGCGGAGGCTGAACCTGAAGCATGCCATTAATATATGGGATCTTACCATCAGCCCAACCAAAAGCAAGCACCTGCCTGGTTATTCTATGTCATAAATCACTCCACCCGCTCAACTCCCCATGGGTGATGGAGCAGTTCTAGAGAGAGTTGAGAAGTGTATTGACCAGTATGCTTATGGCCAGCTCTAGTTTGGCAGCGGAGGTCTCACACCGAATCAGTCGAGCGGAATTATCTTTGTATCAGCTGCCTAATGCTGTGTGGACGGTATCTAGCCCATTCGCTACATACGAAGCTCAGCACTTCTCATCCACATGTATGCCCTCTCTTCTATATGCTTGCGAAATGTGGACCGATTAATGGAGCATCTGAGCCTGTAAGAAACGTTCAAGCTGGCGTGCCTACGATCCATCCTGGGTTTAACCAGAATAGATTGTGTGAGGAGCTCACAAATCCTTGAAAGTTTTGGTCACAGTCCCATCAAGTGAGTGCCTCCGGCCGGCGAGGCTGCATTAGTTGGGTCATGTAGCCCGCATGCCTAGTCACTGAATGCCCAGGCAGCGTATGTTTGGACGGATAGAGGAGTAAACGGGCGCGGCTCTGACTAGAGAAGAGATGGGCTGATGTGGTACAGGAGGATGTGGAGCTGATCGGACTCGGAGGTTACTGGTACCAGCGGATTCAAGGTCGGCCTCTGTGGATGAGGCTCGTGAAGGAAGTTACAGTTGGAGGCAGTTGCCCTCCAACAACAACAGAGGGAAGAGGAATGACGCTCACAACATTGCAGCGATTTTGCACAGTCAGTGGGGATCACAGGTGATGCATTTGCCAGTCATCTCAATCAAGGTGCACCTAGCCTGGCACAAATGCCGTGGTGACGTCACCGCCGACGGCGGTTGTTATGTCTCTATGTGCGTGCGAATGTGCGTGACACTGCTCATGAATGGGTCCGGCGAGAAGCATACTGATGGTGACGTCAGTCTTAATGAAGGCGTGTGGACCGCTCCCCCTTCCCTCCCTCCCTCCCCCACTGCCTCCCTCCCTCTGTTCCACACCCCCCTCCCCTGCACGCCGCACGAACCACTCACCCCCAATACTCCCTCAATACCCACCACTCCCCACCACACACCCCCCTCTCACCACCCTCCCTCTGCCCCCCCCCATCACTCCCTCCTCGCCACACTCCCCAAACACTCCCCCACCGACCGACTCTCCGCAACGCTCTCTCCCCGTCTCGCAGCAGGTGCCGCTGACGTGGCCGGGGTTCGGGGTGCCCCGGTGCAGGGCGTCTCTCTCTTTCTCACACCGGGCCCCGCAGGGCCAGGGTGTGACAGTGGAGGGTGCGGGTATCTCTTTGTCGGGCTTCACTCTGCAGCGTATCTCTGTGTCTCAGTGCAGGGTGTCTCTGTGTCTCAGTGCAGGGTGTCTCTGTGTCTCAGTGCAGGGTGTCTCTGTGTCTCAGTGCAGGGTGTCTCTGTGTCTCAGTGCAGGGTGTCTCTGTGTCTCAGTGCAGGGTGTCTCTGTGTCTCAGTGCAGGGTGTCTCTGTGTCTCAGTGCAGGGTGTCTCTGTGTCTCAGTGCAGGGTGTCTCTGTGTCTCAGTGCAGGTGTCTCTGTGTCTCAGTGCAGGGTGTCTCTGTGTCTCAGTGCAGGATGTCTCTGTGTCTCAGTGCAGGGTGTCTCTGTGTCTCAGTGCAGCGTATCTCTGTGTCTCAGTGCAGGGTGTCTCTGTGTCTCAGTGCAGGGTGTCTCTGTGTCTCAGTGCAGGGTGTCTCTGTGTCTCAGTGCAGGGTGTCTCTGTGTCTCAGTGCAGGGTGTCTCTGTGTCTCAGTTTAGGGTGTCCCCGTGTCTTAGTGCAGGATGTCTGTGTCTCAGTGCAGGGTGTCTCTGTGTCTCAGTGCAGGGTGTCTCTGTGTCTCAGTGCAGGGTGTCTCTGTGTCTCAGTGCAGCGTATCTCTGTGTCTCAGTGCAGGGTGTCTCTGTGTCTCAGTGCAGGGTGTCTCTGTGTCTCAGTGCAGGGTGTCTCTGTGTCTCAGTGCAGGGTTTCTCTGTGTCTCAGTACAGGGTGTCTCTGTGTCTCAGTGCAGGGTGTCTCTGTGTCTCAGTGCAGGGTGTCTCTGTGTCTCAGTGCAGGGTGTCTCTGAGTCTCAGTGCAGGGTTTCTCTGTGTCTCAGTGCAGGGTGTCTCTGTGTCTCAGTGCAGGGTGTCTCTGTGTCTCAGTGCAGGGTGTCTCTGTGTCTCAGTGCAGGGTGTCCCCGTGTCTCAGTGCAGGGTGTCTCTGTGTCTCAGTGCAGGGTGTATCTGTGTCTCAGTGCAGGGTGTCTCTGTGTCTTAGTGCAGGGTGTCTCTGTGTCTCAGTGCAGGGTGTATCTGTGTCTCAGTGCAGGGTGTCTCTGTGTCTTAGTGCAGGGTGTCTCTGTGTCTCAGTGCAGGGTGTCCCCGTGTCTTAGTGCAGGGTGTCTCTGTGTCTCAGTGCAGGGTGTCTCTGTGTCTCAGTGCAGGGTGTCTCTGTGTCTCAGTGCAGGGTGTCTCAGTGCAGGGTGTCCCCGTGTCTCAGTGCAGGGTGGTGCTGGCCACCCACCCCCTCGTGTGCCGTGCCGTGCCGGCCTTTATAGGTACTCGCTAACAGCACTTTCTCCAACAGTCTGCTTAAGCCTGTACGGTGATTTTTGTCTTTTGCAGTCTGTCTCAGTACAGGGTGTCAGTTTGTCAGTGCAGGGTACAGGGTGAGTGTCTCTTTGTGTGTGTATGTCAGCTTTGTGTGTGTGTGTATGTCAGCGTGTGTGTATGTCAGCGGGGAGCGGTAGCAAAGTGGTTAGCGTGCTGTGCTATGAACCCGGTGAACCGGGTTCGATTCCTGCACACGGTCAACACCAGTAACGATTATTTGAACGGGTCTTAGGCCTCCCCTAGGTCGACTCAGCTTCAAATGAGTACCTGGTGCGGTGTGTAATTATCGCCACTAGGGAGACTTAGGCGACCGAGCGTGGTGCTGACCACCCACCACATTGTGTGCCGTGCCAGACTTCATAGGTGCTCGCTAACCGCATTTGTCCTTAGTCTGTTGAGGCTATATGAGGGATCTTTGTCTCTGTATATATGATGTCGGTGTATATATGTCGGTGTGTGTGTCTATGTGTATGTGTGTCCCTGTGTGTGTTTATGTCCCCCTCCCCACTTTTCTCTCGGCCCGGGCGCCACAAAGCGCCTCTTGTGCCGTTTCCATGGGGAAGCGGTGAACACACAAGATGCGCGCTCATGAGGCAAACACACCCTGATTCATGCCTTCCATTCGTTCACTCATTCCTCCACCTGGGGCTCCTCCCTCCTCCATTCCACTCATTCCCTCTACTCATTCCCTGCCTTCAATCATTCATCTGGAGCCCTCATGCGTAATTTATTCCCTCCCTTTGCTGTCCGTGATGTGGGGTGATGTTGCGCAGTGAGAGGGATCCCTGTGATTTGGGGATCTTCGACTGGGATTCAGGATCTGGCACTGAGGTGTGGTGCCCGGTAGCAATGGACGCCGTGAGCGATTCACGTGGCTGACTATGATGCGATATTCATAATCTGTGGGACTGCCACTGGGATCTGGCATCTGGGTGGTGAATCTTGGATTGAGGATCTGTATATATGATGTATCTGAAATTCAGACCTGGGGAAAATTATAATCACAGCGGTATTGTCATCTGACATAACAATTACACTGAAATTGTAATTCGCTACTACGGACACAAACTCAAGTGATTATGAATCTGGGATCTGACATCTAGGCCCTATGATTGAGATCTGAAATCTTGAGGCCTGGTATCTGCCATAATACACCTGGGATATTGAATTTGGGATCTGGGACCCAAGGTGATGATCCGTCATTTGGGAACTGGGATGTAGGATCTGAGACCTGGGCAGGGGGAGGCTGGAAGCCGGGCGGTGCGCACGTAATGGAGCCCCCCACCCCCCGCGCTTTCATGGCACTAGAATGGGGGGGGGGGGTGCTCGTCTCCTTTGAGGGCGGTGCGGTGCAGGCGATTGCACATGCCACCAAGCTAATGTCAGTGTTTATAAGGAGCCCTTTGTGAGGCCCGGGGCTCCGGCAGCGCCCGTGAATGTCAGGGCAGGCGAGGCCTGAATACCAAAGCGGTGGCCATTGTGAGAGAAGCGCCCTCCCCGTAATTGAGTCACTCATCCCTAGAGCGCTGCTCCTCCTACTGCTCCTATCTTCCTCATCATCATCATCCTCCTTATCTCTTCCTCATCTTCCCCTCAGCCTCTTCTCTCTTCCTCATCTTCCTCTTCTCTCTCCACCGCCACCCTCTCTTCCTCTTTCCCAAAATATGCAATTGTCATTGTGCAGAGACTTACTCCAACATATCACGACCACAGGGAGATATGGCGGAAGAGGTGAGGGAAGGAATGAGATAGTGAGGGAGGGGGTAGGGAGGGAGGGAATCAGTTGGTGAGACAGGAAGGAGCTGAGTCAAGGAAGGAGGTGGTGAGGACGGGAGAGAAGCCACTTGATACCCTCCTAGTCTGACCTTAACATTTCGACGCAGATTATGACTGTGACCCTGACCCTGTCCCCTACTCCAAGGCCTTAGGAGTGTCATGTGGGATTGGAGGGCCTCTATTGAGGCCCCCCTTGCCTCTCACGAGTGAGATCAGCACCTGGGTCACGTCACAGGCCCTCACTACTGCCCTCTTCCTCTCTCCCCTGCCCAGGCACTGCCCTGAGTTGCCCCACGTGGGCCCCGGGGGGCCATGGTGCGCAAGAAGACGCTGCCCCTGCGCACTGTGGTGGCCCCCGCGGGCCCCGAGGACCCAGAGGCTGCAGCCGAACCAGGCCACGCAGGTGGGGAGGCCTCGGACCCTCTCGCCGACCGTGCCGATGCGACCCCGAGGGGTGGCATCGGGGGTCCCTGGAGCCCCGAACTCGACCGGCCCGGCTCCCCGGAGGGGCCCGGGGCCCGGGACGAGGCCGGGCCCGACCCAGCGGGGGCCCCGCCCGGGCAGGACAGCGGGGGTGGCCCCTCACCGGGAGGTCCCGACGCGAAGGCCCGGGGAGGGTCGCCGGCGGCGGGCGCACCAGCCATTGCGGCCTCCACGCCACGGCTACAGGACTTCACGTGCGGCGCCTGCGGCTACAGCTACCTGGGCAGTGACCCCGCCGACCTCGTGAAGCATGTGCGTCGCTTCCACCTCGGCCTGCACGCCCGTGGCCGGGACCCCGACCCCGATGGGAGCCGGGTCCTGGCGGCGGGGCCTCGCGCCCTGCGCCGCGTCCCAGAGGTGGGCCCTACCGGGCCCCGCGCCGTTGAGCGGCATCTTCTGTTGCTAAGGGATGGGGCCCAACCCAGCCCGGTGGCCCATGATGTGCAGGTAGGGGCAATGGCTCTTTCCTAAATTATTTAGCGTTGATCAATCGCTGATAATAAACAGAGGCTACGCTCGACCGATGATGGGATTCTGCTGCTGCTGCTGTCAGATCTGGGGTGGAGCACCCAGCTCCTGGCTGACTGCACCCAATCGCATTCAGTGTAAAGCACCAGTGAGGGCCATCGATTATCCAGCACTAACGGATCACTCTCGTCACATACTCACCGGTGGTCAGTCGTCTCCTTATTGTTCTTCTCATCGCTAAACATAAACCCAACTACCTTACTTATTAGGACTTTGCTTGATTCAAGATGCGTGTTACCTCTTATATATTGTAACTTTAATAGTGCTGTTGTTGCTGACCACTTGCTTCTCTCATACCTTACTGTGCCCCATCCCGTCCTCTACGCTCCCAATCTTTACCGCCCCTCTCTTTGCTTTCCTCGTGCTGCGCCCAGCCTCGCTCTCTTATTTCTATCCTTTCTTGCTCCCCCTCACTGGAACCAACTCCCATTGCAGCACATTAAACAATAATCTTCACTAATCTGTTCCCATTCCTTCCTTTCAACAACTCATCTCTTCTCCTTTGCCCATCCTGCTACTGCTACTTCCTGCCCCTACGACCAGGCCTACCCTAACCCCTATCACTACCGCAACCCCTATCATTACCCCTATCACTACCCCTATCACTATCCCACCCCCTCCTTAACCATTCCTACCTGTCTTCTTAACTATCACCATAACTACACCACTTTAAATAACAACCCCACTCTTTATTTTAACCACTATAATCTTACGTGCAATTTTATGATTGTTTGAAAACACCTTGGATTAAGGCGCTATACAAGACATTTTGGGCCTGTGCCCAGCAGTGGTGTACAAATCAAAATTGTCATCGAGCATAGTAAGGGATCACAGGAGGTTGGGGCGACGCAGACTCCGCTTCATGAGACCCACTGGCCGCACTGGTTAATACTTACATGAACCCTAACCCAAACCCTAACCCAGTGTCCGCCCTGGTTAATATTGAGCGCGTATGAACCCTAACCTGAACCCAAACCCAGTGGCCGCCCTGGGTAATACTGCGCGTGTATGAAGCTTCACCCTTGTCATCTGCTTCACGGTGGACGTTAAAGATCCCGTGACATCATTCTAAAATTGGCAAATTAAAAAAAACAGTTTCAAATTTCTTAATTTGGTAAAACTACAAAACATCACCCTCTCCCATGAACTATACTGGTCTGTGAAACATCACGCCTTTGTGTTCACTTTGTGCTGCAAGAATGGCATAAATATCAAATGTACTAAATTATCATCAATTATCACGATAGTTGACGTAAAACATCTCGGGCAATAGAGTTAATATAAGAGCGAGTCTAACCTAGAGGTGTATGTACCTCCAGGGGACTTCTAAAGAAAACGGGGTCCGAGGAAACACAGGGTCCCTGTCTCAGAAAACAATTTCCACTGGCTTGGGGCCGAGCAGGGCCAGGGGCAATGCGAATGCAATTTGTCATACATCTACATTGCAAATCGACGGGTTTATTGCGTGTGACATCAGCCGCACATTCAGCACCTCTGATTAGCACGGTTGGCTATGTGCGGTGCGAAAGAAGTTAAACATACGAACATTATTGCGATAATCGGAATTTGGTCAGTCGTTTAAAATGTTCTGGCCTCATGCACGATTCGGGCAAAGGGCGTGTCTCCCTGAGTAGTGGGTGGGGTCAGCAGCAGAGTAGGCGGGGCTGTGTGCATCTCCCTCAATGTAAGGCCGGGAAAGATCCTGGCAAGGATTATTCAACATCGCCTTGCAGGGCAGCTTCCAGAGGAGAGGCTTGCAGAGCCCAAATGTGGTTTCAGGCGGGGGCGGTCCTGCACAGACTGCATATTATCTGTCCATCTGCTACAGAAGAGGTGTAGGGAATTTCAATGGCTTCCTTTTCCCTATGTGCATTGCTCCGTCGGTGCTCCCGCTTGACTCACCCGCCCCTCACCTACCTCTCATCCACCTCTCATCCGCCCCTCTTTCACCCGTTACCTGCCCAGGTGATGTGCCGAGGAACTCACGTGGGCATCGGCCGCAAGACCCCGGACTGTCAGGGCGACACCAAGTACTACCGCTGCAAGTTCTGCAACTTCACCTACCTGGGCAGCTCCCCGGCTGAGCTGGAGGCCCACGCTCTCTCGCTTCACCCCAACAAGGTGAAGGCTGGTACGGGGCCCGGCGTCAGTGGCAAAGACGCCTCTTCTTCCTCTTCGGATGTCCGGCCGCGCGGCCCCCCCGTCGCCAACGCCGAGGGCCAGGGAGCGGCAGCGCGAGGCCCCTGCCCGGGCCACGGCGATACGCCGGGTGCCGTTTACGTGTGGTGCGGCCTCTGCGGCCTATGCGGCGAGGCCGAAGCCGGGCGGGGAGCGCTGCGGGCCCCCGAGGGGCCCCGAGGAGCCGAGGCGGCTGAGCTGATGGTCTGGAGTGCGGCGGGTGGAGAGGGCCAGGCTTCGGTGATCCGTTGCCCCGGGGGCCTCGAGTCTCCCGGGAGGCAGCAGCAGCCCAGGGGTGGCAGGGATGCGCGCGGAGGAGGAGAAGGAGGAGGGGGCCGCCTGCTCGATTGCCGGGAGTGTGCCTTCAGGACAGCCGACAGGACTGCTCTCACCACTCACTACAGGTGAGGGTCCTCATGGGTGGAGATCTCACAGGTGAGGTGGTGGTGATGGTGGTATGTCAGTGATTGTGATTATGGTGTCAGTGTATGTATGTATGTTGAAGTTCTTTCGCACCGTACGTAACCAACCGTGCTAATTGGAGTGGTGTTGATCTCAGTAATGTTTGCACTGCTAGTGTCGGTGGTGTGACTATAGGTGAGGTAGTGCGGTAGTGAGATTAGTGGTGTCGGTGGGGGTGGTGATGTTGGTGATGTTTTCGTCAGGAGGACCCACTCCTGGCTGCAGTGCGGCCACTGTGACTTCGTGACGGACGACTCAGCAGAGCTGGAGGAGCACGCATCTCAGGGTCACCAGGTGGACGGGCCCCCCCGCTCGGGCCCCAACACTGGCCTGGACCCCCCGCTCGCATCGCAGCCAGCCCTGAGGGCCCTGCAGAGGCCCCATGAGGCCTTGGGACCCATTACTCTGACCCCTGAACAGCCGCCCCGGCAGCGACCCACGCTGATCCCTGACAACGGGCGCAAGGGCCCAGGACCCAACTCCCCGCCTATTTCCTCTGCCAACCGGCCCAGCGGTGGCACTCAGCAGCACCTGAAGCAGCAGCAGCCACAGCACAAGATGAAGGAGGAGCTGCCCTCCCTCATGAGGGTACGGCTGGACGGGTCGTGGTGCCTGCGGGTCCCACTGTCCCTGTAGACGCCCATGGTCTCTGTAGCCTCTTGTGGTTCACCTGAGGTTCATACGATGAGCCATGCTTTCTCAGGGTACTTGTTGGGCCCACGTGGTTCTCAGTGGGCCCCTGTGGCCTTCAAGGTTCCATCATGGGGCCTGGTATACCTCACGAAGCTCAGTGGTCACATGTGGTCCCCATGGTGCCCCATGGCCACTTGGTGGTTCTTTTTGGTCCTAATTTGGTTTTCGTGATCACAGGTTGTCTCCAGTGGTAGTCGGAAATCGCACACGGTCCCTTGTGATCTCCGGTTGTCTCCCATCTTCTCTACAAGGCTACCATGGTTGCCAGTTGTCTTAAGGGGTTAATTCCAGCCGATTTTGTTCAGGTTGGTGACCCAGAAAACATTTCCACACCCGGCACACCATGTCCAGAATACTGCTCACGATGGCTATGGCTACGGGTAATGTGCGCCCTACTCCGGTATACCAGCGATGCCGGGGACAGCGGTCCCAGACCACGGTCCCCGGCATCCCCCCTTGAGACTCTGCTTCCCTGTGCATGGTGCAGAGGCGGCGCGGGGCGGGCGTGTCGTGCGCCAACTGCCTGACGACGCGGACGTCACTGTGGAGGAAGAACGCGAGCGGCGGCTACGTGTGCAACGCCTGCGGCCTCTACCAGAAATTGCATGCGGTGAGCGGCGCTGCGCCGGTTAGGGTTCACGGCGTGGTCCCCACTTCTCGCGTCCCGGCAGCCCCACTCGCGCCGTGAGGGCCTATCCGCTCACGTGGCAGCTGGAGCCTAATATCGCCGGCGTTTGCCCCCCCGCCCCTCTCGACGCACCCCTCCCACCACCGCAGACGCCGCGGCCCCTCAACATCATCAAGCACAGCAATGGTGAGCAGATCATCCGACGGAGGACACGCAAGCGCGTCCACCCAGAGCCCACGGATGTTGTCGCCGCTGCCAGGCAACTCAAGTGGACGTCCACTGACGACGGAAGCCCAGGCGGCAGCGGCGTTAGCGGCGGTGCTGGCAGTGCTGGCGGCGCTGGCGGGGCTGGCGGGGCTGGCGGGGCTGGCGGGGCTGGCGCGGCTGCTACCACCAAGGGCCCGCCCGGCAAACACGGTGATCGCCCGCCCTGCGTGGCCACGCCGCCCTGCCACCCTGGCCCGCCCAGGCCGCTCTTCTCCGTGGCCGAAGGTCGCAGCAGTCCCTGCTCTGAGCAGCAGCAGCGGCAGCAGCAGCAGCAGGCAGCGGCAGGGCCAGGCGGCCTTCGGGCCGGGGACCAGCTGTGTCGCACCAGCCCCCCGGAGGACGGCGGGGGTTCGTCCGAGCGGGGCAGCCCCATCGAGAAATACCTGAGGCCACCAGCGCGGGCGGGCGCCACCCCGCCCGGCAGCCCCATAGAGAAGTACCAGTTCCCGGGGCTCGGACTGCCAGCCCCACCAGGCCACGCCGTACCACCCTACACCTACCCAGACAGCGAGTGGCTGCGCTTCTGGTCCAAGTACCGCTCGGCCTTGAGCGGGGGCCCCGCCGCTCAGCTGCTGGTGCTGCAGCCCACGGGGTCCCTGCCCTGGGACCCGGCGTACCCCCCCTATGCGCTGGGACCGCAGGCACTCGCCTGCGCCGACGCAAGCACCAGTGGCGGCATTAGCAATGCTCCGCTAGACTTGGCGGTGAAGCGAGCGCCGGCGGAGGAGGCGGAGGGGCGTGGCGGGGCGCTGGGACGACGGTGGCGCGGCGGCGGTGGCGGCGACAGCGGCGGCAATGGTGGTGCAACGACGGTGGAGAGGGGCACGCAGGATGAGGCTCCCCGCTGCCCGCACTGCGGCGTCCTCTTTCTGGATGCCGTGCTGCATGCACTGCACATGAGCTGCCACGGCGACGGAGGCCCCTTCCACTGCGCTATCTGCGCCTACGCCTGCGCCGACAAGTACGACTTTGCAACCCACATCCAGCGCGGCCTGCACCGCCCTCCGCCCGCCACTCCAGCCAGTCCGCCTGCCAGCCCGCCTGCTAGCCCACCTGCCGGCCTGCACGCTAGCCCGCACGTTAGCCCGCATGTTAGCCCAAATGCCAACTGGCATTCCAGCCCGCATACCAGCCTGCACACTAGCCCGCACGTTAGCCCGCGTGTTAGCCCAAATGCCAACCGGCACGCCAGCCCGCGCACCAGCCTGCATGCTAGCCCGCATGATAGCCCAAATGCCAACCGGCATGGCAGCCAGCTCCCCAGTCCCTATTCTAGCCCACAAACCACCCTGTACATCAGTCCGCATGCCAGCCCACCAGCCTGCCTACGAACCAGCCCCCCAGGCTTTCCAGCCGCTAGCCAGCGCAGCAGTCCATCCGCTTGCCCATCGGCTGGCTCGCCAAACCGCCCACTCATTGGGTCGCCCGTCGAAGAGAGCGCTTCCTCGGGGACCGACCCGGGTGGCCGCGAGGAGCTCTAGGGCCGAGGAGGGAGGTGCGAGGAGTGGGGACTTGAGCAGAGGGGTTACCCCGTCCCGGAACCCGGTGTGCGAGGACAGGGCTGCGCTCGGAGCCGGGAGCACGCTCACCGGCGGCGTTAAATTGGCTTCGCTAATTAGAATGTAGTAACCGGGCCTAAGAATCTGCATGCCCACCGCCGTGTCAGCCAGCAGGGTCGGCAGGATGGCACGAGGTTCGATATGTTTTGTAACCCAGGCACCGCCTGCACTTGGCTGTGTGAAACACCTCCGCGTTCGTCACGCGGAGCGGGAGGCGTCGAAAGGGAAACCGCCCCGAGGGGTGTGCGGTGAGCGACGCGGCCTCCTCACCCTTGGTCCGTGAGCCAAATCAGAAACCGGTAACACCCTAGGTATCAAAACATACTGTAAACACTCGTTAATTACTTGATAACCCCACTCATATCAAACGGTTATCGAGTAATTCACTGTTATTAGCCACAAACATAAATTGGACCTACTAAAGTTATTCCACCTCTGGTGGTACCAACGAGTGAGATATCTGCCTTGGCTCACAGACTCCCTTCCCCCGTGGCTGCCCCCGTCACCACAAGCCCCCCATGACACCTGCAGAGCGCGATGAAGTGGCAGCAGCAGGAGCTGTTCACACGAAGTGGTGGAGGCGTCTCGCTGTGAGGGATGCCGATGGATCCTGCCTCCCTCCTCCCCTTCATCTCTGTGCCTCCCTTTTTGCCCCCCTCCTCCCTCTCAGGCTGCACAGCCACCACCTTTGCCTGCATTGTTTGTGTCTGAGTATGTTTAACACGAAAGTGCTCTCTCTTTATCTCTCTCTTTCTCTCTATATATATTTGTATATTTTTTATTTACGCAAATTGTACGCGTTCCACTGTTTACGGCCGTATTTGCCACAGACGAGGCGTGCGGCGCGCCTCCAAGAGGTGCGCCAGGGAGCCGTGGGGGCCCTGCCTTAACCTCCGGTCCCCCGAGCCCCAGACCCCGGGGCCCAACTTTGCACTGAAGCCCCCCCCCTCTCCCGAGTCTCCAGAGCGGACGCCTTCTCGACGGTGATCACCGCTCGGCCGAGAGAGACTCGTGGCTACGCTCACAGACACCCGCTAGCCTTACGGAGTATGGCCGGCGAGCGCCGATTAAGGCACGATGTGGTTGGGTCAGCACGATGCATGCTCGGCCACCAACGCCTCCCCAGTGCCGACGTTTACACAACTCGTGCCGGACCACAGAGAGGTCGGGCAAGGTTTGTGGTGCACGATGGGCAAAAATGTAGCACATTGTACGTCAACCACGACACACAGACACGCACGATGACACATGGAGACACGCAGTCGCATGCCACTGATTAACGCTCAACGTTTGAGTCCACACGAGGGGCAGCCGTAGGGTGAGAGTGCAGTATGGACTCCATCAGTTCTCAAGTCACTCTCTCCAGCTGGGTCGCTCTCATTGGCCTCACGCTCACGTCCGTTATACAGAACCACCGGAGGAATTTCCGCGTTGCTGTGGAGAAGCCCAGTCTATAGGATTCAATGATGTGTACAACTTTGTGCTCATTTGAGTGGCCCCAAAAAAATGATGATAGGCTGAGCCAAGCTGCATTAAATATTGTGTGAATCGTGATGATTAGAGCCACTCTACCACACACCACTGACCACATGTCCCTCACTCACAACACATCCCTCACTACACATTTAACTCACTACACGTGTGCCTCACTACACTTGTCCCTCATTACACGTGTCACTACACGCATCACCCGGTGCCACTCACTCGTTCAATAGGGGCCATGAAACCGGTCACACTGACCGTGCCATGAACGACACTGACACGCACCTGCCAATCGATATGAGGGCCTTTCACTAAGAAACACGAGCATTCATACAGCGTTTAGTGACATGTACTCGTCCCAGCAGCCACGAAATTCATCATGCATTGAAGCCGCGTGGTTGGTGCTCAAGTCGAGACTGCATCGCTTCCTTCCCGCCCCTTCACTGTCAAAGATACGACAGAAGCATGGAAGCAATCCGCTGCATGGCAGCTCAGCCATTCGCAGGTGAACGAGTTTGAACATAGCGATGGACGTTGCCTTTCTTGGGAGTAAGCAGTTGTCGAACCGCTGTCCACGCTCCGCCTGTCTCAGAGGTCCCCACAGATTGCAGTCCGAAGGGGCTGGCTCCATGCTGTGTGCCGGGCGTCCGAGATCTTCCCGTGCTGAACACCGCTGCCTTTCTCGACAGTCTCGTGGGGTTTCTGACAAATGTCAGCCTGTGGTTCTCAGACAGATCACGATGCTGACCGCACGTTGTTGATTTTCCTGGAAACCAAATTCCAGCGCGCATTGCATGTCCATATTTTTTTATTTTCTAAAGTTTCCAGCAGGGGATTTTGTTTTAAGCCCTGAAGGAGAACCCGGGTGTTTCCATTCGGTGTTCAAGCACTCGCCTCCTGGATCAGGATTGTTCCGGGTTTCATCGGCGGTGGTGATGCGAGACGAGGATACATTCACTGCCTCCACACAGGAGTCTGGACGGCGAGGCAGGATTTAACAGCCTACCCAAAGTGGCCATCATCGTGCGTACATTTTTACTCGCCTGTTGTCTATACTTAGGGCTCAACAAGAGTCATGTTGCCCGGAGTTTGTCTCAACTAGGACTCGCACATCTGCCATCTTGGCACATGTTCCGATTGCATCTGATCCACCCATTCACAAACTGCACAACTCACAGTCGTCACTGTCTTGTGGCTTTATTCTTTGTTCCGTTTCACTTGTCCACATGGTCACAACAAAACATACACAGCAACAACTTGATGCTAGTATGTGCAATTTTGGGAAGGTGCCGTGCCAACAGATTGAAACGCGTGATGTGTCTGCCATCTAGTGGTAACATCTGTACACCGAGTGGTCGTATCCCGGCCCCGTGGCTCAGCGGTAGAGTGAGCGTTTCGTATTCACAAGGTTTGCGAGTTCAAATCCTCGTTTGGAGGTTAACTCAGTCCATCTTTTTACGGTCCATAAAATAAGCACCACATTGAGAAAGTCAACAGTGGTTGTCCTATGGATAGCCTCGCCCCCGACATAGACATGAACCTTGAGTCCCACATAAAAGCTCATGCGAGCAGGAAACTGCCTCTTTGCCCAGGGTCGTGATTCATTCACCCCGCAGTTGCCAAGTTCGCGTTGACGTCAGTCGCACAATTGTTACGTTCCCGTGATACCCGAGTCATAAATTCGCTTGGCGTTAACACAACACCGAGTCCAGTCCCTACGCGTTAGGAGAAGAGGTCGTGTGAGTTTGGTGAGAATCCAGTGAGATTCTGGTGAGTGGTACGAATATGGAGAATCTGATGCGAGTGGTGAATGTCTGGTGAGGTTGGCAGGATGCTGCTGGGGGCCTCGTACCTGTCAAGACGTGAGTGCCCCTCTCATCTCGCACACTGCAATATCATTGCGATCGCTGCAATGACCGCGTAACGACGATGGGTAACACGATAATGTGGGGCTCAATCATTCAGAGTTTTGCACAACTATACCGTGGTTTCCCTTCCTCGTGTGAGCTGCCCTTTTCAGCTTCCCTGATCTCGTAGGAAATGTCCTTCCATGACACCAGTGTCCGTTCCCTGTAAGGGATTGCCCTTATGTGCTATCAGCTGCCTTTCCCTGGTACGAGCTGCCCTTCCCCGGAATGCACTGCCCTTGCCTACATATAAGCTGCCCTTTCCTTTGATCTGCACTCCCCCTTCTTTCTCTGCCGCGGTATTTCCCGGATTGCTCCGGGCGTCTCTTATCGTTATCTTCGTCTTCGTTTTAATTGCATCCCCGTGTCCCCGCTGTCCGTCCTTGTGCCATGAGCGAACTGTGGCCTGGCTATGGAGGAAAATAAACTCAGATGAACTTTCACCCGCGTGGCCACATCTGTCCTGATGCCTGCACGTGCACAGGTACGGTCGCGCGCCACAAGTAGAGGAATCCGCGTTGCTACGGAAACCACTTTGTAAGAGAGGATAGATGAGTTTGAGTGTTAATAGAACAAAAGGCATTTGAGGAAGACAGGTGTCTTGAGACGGGTACCAGAATCCATGCAGAAGCCCGCAAGAAGACACGGCCGGTGAGTTGTAGATGCGACAAACGGCCGCGGTGGGTGGGACCCGTGCAGGATGGGTGAGGGCCCGTTGCCGAGACGGGCATTGAAGCGGTCTCCACGTTTCCAGCTACTTAGGGCCAGGACCTCACAGCGGGTGGTGGGAGACTGTGAGGGCAGATCTAGGAGGTCGCCGCGTGTCTACCCTGCAGCAGCAGCTGCTGTGAGGCTCGTACGCACTGGCGACGAGGTTCGATTGTATTAACGACTTTAGCCGCACATGATGACTTCTCGATCTGGGTCTCTGATATTATTGTCACACATTTTTTGTTCCTGGGTAGTCAATGTTATTTCGTAATTGCTTATGCCTAAAAAGTATAGAGGATGGCTATTGTTATTCCCCACAAACTTTGCTTTTGTGACCAGGACAGTAACATTTAGAAATTGACCTATTTTCAATGAGAAAACGGGCGAATTTGTGTCTTTTCGTTCACATAAAGTAATAAAACAACAACATATGAATGGAATGGCACCTTCTACAAACAAAATGAGGGTACGCCTATGGGTTCCCCCTTATCACCAGTGATAGCCAATGTTTTCATGGAGAAGTTTGAATCAGACGCCATCCAGACATCCACCCTTCGTCCTTCCCTGTGGAAGAGATATGTGGATGATACTTTCGTCATTTGGCCACATGGCCTCCCAGCATTGAACCATTTCCTAGACCACATCAATTCCAGACACCCATCCATCGAATTCACCATGGAAGTGGAGAAAGATGGCAAGCTGCCATTCTTGGATGTTCTGTTTGAGAGGAGGCCTGATGGCTCTTTGGGACATTGTGTTTACAGGAAGGTCACCCACACAGATTCCTACTTGAAACCTGATTTCCACCACCACCCGGCTCAAAATAATTCGCTCATCAAAACACTATACCATGGGGCTCATTGCATCTCTGACCAACACCACCTGGCCAGTGAATTAAAACATGTATATCTGACCCTCAAGATGAACGGATACTCAGACTGTACTATCCGCCAAGTTGTTTCTCCCACCATACAAAAACAACCACCTGAAACTCCAATTAAAATCATCACGCTGCCATACATAGCAGGCGTTACCAAAAAGATTTCCAAAATTATAAACAAACACAAGATCCAGGTCCGGTTCAATACAGTACACACAATCCGTGATCTGATCCTATCCGTAAAGGATGCCATTCCTGACTTACAGTACCCCGGTGTTTACAAATTGAGTTGTACCTGCGGTGACTGTTATATCGGGGAGACGAAACGACATATTTCTGACCGAATTCGCGAGCACAAATCAGATTTGAAACACGGCAGAACGAATTCTTCTGCCGTAGCTGATCACTGTTACAACGCTGTGGGTTATCATGACATTGTTTTCTCCGATACCAAGGTAATATGCAAGCCGTCTGGATAACACCAAAGATGTGTCAATGAAGCCATACAGATATACAAACATAGACATAACTTCAACCGAGAAGATAGATTCAAATTGAGCAATCATTGGAAAGATGTGATTAACCATGTAAAACCTAAACCGATACTCTCCCCCGCCCCGCGTCCCCCCCCCCCCATCCGTGGCTCCGATGTTCTTCATCATCTTTCCCTTCCTAGCTCCACCCACACTCCCCCCCCATACTGCGCCCGTCCTCCCTGGCTCCTCCCCCTCTTACCCTATATAGCAGTCTATCACCACAAATAGCTCTCTCTACAGTTATTTTGCTGTGCCTTTTTTACACCTGCTGAAGGAAGCGTGTGTTGCCTCCGAAATGTCGTGATTTAATTTAGTTGTTTTCATTTATTTTAATTTTATTTTTTACCTACGTGACTTTACCGAAAAAAAAACCAAAGAGTATGAATCCTTGCAGTCACGAAAGCTTCAAATCTAGAACAACATATGAATCCAAAGTAACATGTATTTATACTAAAGTAATCCAAAAATTACTACAAAAGATTTAGAAGTGAGTAGTTTTTCTAGATTTACGATCATACTGGAAATCACTTTCACGAATCAGCCCCCAAATGTAGTCTCCAATCATGTTCTCGTCGAACTGTCCTTGGTAGCGGCGTTCATAGTCCAGTATATCCTAGTGGAAGCCCAAGCCTTGCTCCTCCGAGTACGCTCCCATGTTTCCCTTTAATTTATCAAGATGAGCATCAAGGATATGGACTTTGAGGGACATCCTACAGCCCATTGTGCCGTAGTTCTTCACCAGAATTTCAACCAGCTACACATAGTTTTCGACCTTGTGATTGCCCAGAAAGTCAGGAACCACTGCGACAAAGCTGTTCCAAGCCGCTTTCTCCTTACGAGTGAGCTTCTTGGGAAATTCATTGCACTCCAGGATCTTCTTTATCTGTGGTCCGACGAAGTCACCGGCTTCGACCTTTGCCTCAGACAGCTTAGGGAAGAAGTCTTGAAGGTACTCGAAGGCTGCCGACTCCTTATCTACAGCTCTGACAAATTCTTTCATAATGCCCAATTTGATGTGCAATGGTGGCATCAGCACCTTCCGGGGGTCCACCAGTGGCTCCCACTTTACATTGTTCCTCCGCACAGAGAACTCGGTCCACTGTGGCCAGTCCCGCATCTGGTAGTGCGCCATCATTTTGAAGTCTCCAATGGCCTCCCATCCGTACTCATCATACTTCAAGGCGTCCAGCAAGGTCTTGATGCTGTTGTAATCCTCTTTGAGGTGCACCGAATGAACCAGGGGAAGAGACTGGTACTTGTTACCATTATGGAGCAGCACGGCTTTGAGGCTCCTGGATGAGCTGTCAATGAAGAGGCGCCACTCATTCTGGTTACAGGCGATTCCGATTGCCTCGAACAGACGAGTCACATTGTGGCAGAAGCAGAGCCAATCTTGACGGGTGAAGAAGCTGTACAAAGATTGGTGACGCTTCCTCTGATGTGCGACTTGCACACTTTTATCCAACAAGTACCACTGCTTGACCCTCGACGTCAAAAGCTCGGCATTGGACTTGGTGAGACCAAGATCTCCGATCAAGTCGTTGAGGTATTTTTGGTTGGGGTAGTATGGGTTTCTCTCCTCAGCTCCACCTCTGATATTGTCATCTGGATCTACAACGTCTTCCTCGCTCTCTGACTTGCTGCTCTCTTCTAAAGACGGCTGCTCTCTCTCTGGAGGAGTGGGTACGGGGAGCTCATGACAGTGTGGCACCGGGGCGATGGATGAAGGAAGGTCCGGATATGTGATAGCAGGTGCATTCTTGCCAGTCCGACGTTTTGAAGGGTCCACCATGCAGAAGTAGTAGTTGCTTGAGTGGTCAGTGGGATAGCAAACCTCATGGCTCCCTTTTCCCCTCTGTACCATCCTACAAAAATACATTTATTTCACCCATGACTAATGTGTAAGAGATTCTCGCAACATTTTTCATATATGATATATTTTTTCAATAACATTGAAAATTTTAAAACATTTTACAATTAAAAACTTTAACAATTTTAAATTTGTATAAATTTTGTAACATTAAATTCCGAGCAACAATTGTCCATCTTACCTTCCAGAGTTTTTTTTGCATTGCTCGTAGGTGAAATGAGGTGCCCAGGGTTTGTCTTGATCTCCGACAGGCATGCCGAAATATGCCTTATAGGTCTCACACATCTTAGCAGATGCTTCCACAGAGTACTTTTTCGCTTTTGTCTTGATAAATTGGCCGCAGACATAGCAAAATGCGTCTGCCGGATGCTTGCAGCCTCTTGATGCCAGATATAACTAAACTGAACTGTTGGGCTTAAGGCCCCTATATTTATACTACTATTAATATTACTGGAAAATTCTAGAATGTTCTAGAAGTTACTCCAAGTTTACTCAGTACTGAATCTGTCTGGAATGTTTTGGAAAATAGGTCAATTTCAAAATATCACTGTCCTGGTCACAAAGGCAAAGTTTGTGAGAAATAATATCAATTTTCTGTACTTTTGAGACATAAGCATTAGGAAATAACACTTACTACTCAGGAACAAAAAAAATTGTTACACAGTGTCTTCAGCTATTTTAGCTACATTATTTACGACTAACTCGCAAGGGTATAGGCCATTGTGTGTCGGCGTCAGGGTTTAAATTTGCCAAATTAGGAGAAAAAAGTGCGTGCAGGGGCCCCCTAGCGCATGTTCCCCTCGTGGAGGCGCCCCCTAGTGGAGGCGCCCCTCGTATGGAGTCGCCTCCCAGTGCATGCTCCCTTCGGGGAGGCGCCCCCTAGTGGAGGCGCCCCTCGGGGAGGCGCCACCTAGTGGAGGCGCCCCTCGGGGATTCGCCACCTAGTGGAGGCGCCCCTCGGGGAGGCGCCACCTAGTGGAGGCATCTCCACGTTGCAGAGTTGTGCCTTGACCACCGCCGCCTTTCACGTGAGCGCGTGGACCTGGTGACGTGTCGTCCACCCGCTCCCCACAACACTTTAGGGGACGCCTACGTCATTACACATGACACATTTGACGTCACCACCGGCTATTGCCACAGCGTGACGTCGCGATACTGATTCCTCACGTGTCATGACGTCATGGAAACTAATCCAGACACCGCGCGACGTCCTTTAGAAGAAGTGACGTCACGTCCTGATCCCGCCGCCGCCTCCGCTTTGTGGCCCCGTATCGAGGAGCACGTGCACCGGGATTAGGGAGCCCCGTTCCGGAATCCGGACCCCCGAAGTCCCCCTTGGTCTCCGTGCCGCCATGGGCGCCTACCTGACGCAGCCCAACGTGGAGAAGGAATCGTGGGAGCGCAGCTCGGGCCGCCTCTCCTTCGGGGTCTCGGCCATGCAGGGAT